GATTTTATCTAAATGAAGTTCAGAAACAACAAGATAAAAGCAAGTTAATGAAAAACAGAAGATTAAAGGCAGTGGTTGCCTCTGGGAGTGAGGAATAGGCTTGTGGAGGAACAAACATAATTTTTAAAATGTTTATTACGTATCTGCAGGGACTTGATTCTGTCAGTAAAAAGTGCCTGAAATGGCTTCCAGACAGCTTGATGCCCACTAGAGTGTTAAGATTCTTCAAAGAACTTGGAATAAATCTCACAGAACAACTCATCTATTCTTCTTTCCATATTTTTCACACTGTACAATGATCCCCATTAAGTTACAAAATCAATATAGGACACACCAACATTCCTTTAAAAATATATTAAAAAAAAGCATCACAGTATATGGCTTATAGTAGAAGTATTGCTTTGTGAAATGTTTTAGCATAAACATACATGTGTGTACTGGGTCATGTATCATAATACAAAACTTACTATATAGGCTGTAGTTTTAAATGGTTGAAATTTTCCACTGTAAACCATCTGTAATTTGTGTACACTTCCACCTCAAGATACAGATGTTCCATCTAATACTTCATTGGATTAGATAATTTAAACAACTCTTAAAGCAGGTATTTGATGAAAAACTTTATACTGACTGAGAAAAAGCATTTCTGCTGTTAATTAGACATTCAGAAAAATAGTACAATACAGGATTAAGAGCATGGACTCCGGAGCCAAATTACCTAGGTTTAAATCATGGCTTTGGCACTTACTAACTGCAGTTTTGAACAAGTATTTAAAGTCTCTATGCCTCAATTTTCTCATCTATAAAATGGAGATAATAAATATTAATACCTACTTAATAGGGTTATTGTGAGTTAGATGGGTTAATATTTATAAAGTGCTTAATAGTCCTTGGCACACAGGAGGAACACAAATATTACCCACCATTCCTCTTTGAAGTTGCAGTTATCACTAATAATATGGTATCCGTGGTAACCACTAAATAAAGACATTTCAAAACCTTCATATGACTGTCTACTTTACAAAAAGCAAATTGGCAGAAGAGCGGATGAGTGAAACTGGACCATAGGAAATCAACCACTTAAAGGGAATAATATGAAGTGTGACAGGAAACTTGACCAGCACTTGATGAGCACAGTGAATGCTGCCTGCAGAGAGCAGGACTGGCTTTGACTATGCCACATACATCACATTCAGACGTAAGATGCACATTTTTTCCCTCAAAACAATTGACTTTAAAATGAGTGTAAGTTTAATTGTCAGCAGATTTTCTTAAGATTTGATGAAATACAATTATCACTATATCAACTGTAGGCAAAATGCAGATGTAGCAAATCCATCATTTTACATACTCAAAGTGGTCAGAGAGCTGAGGCTGTTCTGGAGATCAACGACATCAAGCTGGTATCCAGGGAAATGACTGGTGAAAGAGTGCGTACAAAAGTCATCACAAGAGTCTGGGAGGACTGCCTCCAAACCCAGATAATGGTACCGGCACAATCTGTCTGATGTAACTATTTTGGATGCTAGAGATACAGTCTATTTAAAGGCTTGCAACTCCCGGAGGAAGACTTAAAATGTGGTTAATTCCAGTCAGTTTGGGCACCTACCTAGGCAGCAATCACCCATCCCCCACTCCTCATTCCCCCGTCAGAAAGCTGTGCACAGGTCCCCGTTTTCTGCTCGAGGATTAATTTATACAGCTAACTGTGTGAGGGCATAGAGAGGTCAATACCACTGAAAGAGTTCAATATTATTCACAGCTCCTCTAGAAATGAGAGGCACAGCACACCATGAAAGTCCACACAAAACTTGTTTCACACAGAGGGAAGGAAGAAAGGAGGGAGGGGGCGGGGAGAGGACTTGGACAGCACTTTTACTGCTAAGACAGTGGGCAGGAAGGGAAAATACACATCCCATGATGCGTGGCTGGGAGGTCTGTGATGTGACTTTCATGTGCCCATGATGGCTAACTTGCAGGGAAGATATAAGCAACTCTGGCCATTAGTATGGCCCTATAATTAATCAATGCCAAGTAGACAAACATAAAATCTAAGAACACACAACGGCTCCAGGAGCAGCTTGTATGCGGAAGTAACTCTGAGAGGACTTAAAGGGCCAGCACCTTTTCCCATGCTTTCTCTTCTCCCCCTTTTGGGACCCAGAGATATAAGGACTAGACCATTATAAAAAGCAACCAAATACTCGGAAGAATTTAGGTCACCATGAATGCCCAGGAAACAGTGCAGGCTCAAAAAAGACATGAGAAAAACTTGCTTCCTCAGGCTGATCCTTAGCACAATAACAGCCTACCTACAACACCACCTCCACCCCAGCAAATCCTGGGGAAGGGGGAGAATCTGATTTCCAGCATTTTCAACAACAGCAAAAAATCACAAAGCATAAAAAGAGAAAGGAAATTATGGTCCATTCAAAGGAAAAAAGTAAACAGAAACCATCCCCGCAAAAGACCAGATGGCAATCCCACTAGACAAAGACTTTAAAAGAACTGTCCTAAGAATGCAAAAGAACTAAAAGATGTGGAGAAAGTTAAGGCGATGTGAAAACAAAATGGAAACATCAACAGAGATGGGGTGCACCTTAGACCAATATACTCATTGTGGGAGTCCCAGAAGAGAAAAAAGGGCAGATTATTAGTGTGTGCACAAGCTGAGCTGAGAAAGACATAACACACAGCAAATTCATCTGCAACGTATGAAGAGGCTTCATTTTGGCGTATTATTTCAGGACTGAGAATCAGGCAACTGTTCAAATTCCGTGTCTCCTGTGAGAGTTGAAGTGTACAACCAGTTCATAATCCAAGCTGCATCACAATACTGCCTAGAAGAACTGAAGGGCAAAACAAAGTATATGTGTGTGTGTCCATATACATTCGTATACACAAATGTATGTATATATGTGTGTCCTTCATGTAGACAGGAATATCTGAATTTTTATTTATTAATACTAAACTTTTTCCACAGCTGCATTTGTGGAGAAAGGCTTTTAATTTGCAGCTTGAAATCTGTCAGCTAATCACTTAGAAAACATGAAAATCATTTTTAAAAAGCTGACTTTTAAGTTCAAAACAAAGAATTCCAAAGAGCAGTTTAAGATAACTGTCTAGTAGCATGGCTGTAAAATGCAATTAAATTTCAATCTATATTTCAGTATGAATTTGGCCCGATAATAGAAGTTTATTTTAAAGCTGATGATCATTTGATAATCATTTACTGAGGTACTACCTTGCACTAGCACTATTCGTGGTGATGGGAAACAAAGTTTCTGTCCTCTAGGCGCTTACATTCTGGTGAGGCAGACAGAAAATAGTTTGATATATTTTGGATAATGGTTAAGAGAAGTTCAATGGAGACATGTGGGAAGTGTAGGGGCTGCAACTTTAGCAACCAGACACTTTCCTACATTGTTAGAGTTCACAAGAGCATCACTTGTTAAGTGGGAAAAACTGAAATCTGTTTATGTAATAAACATCACTAAAGATCAAATTAAATGAATTTAGTTTTAACATACTAATCTTTTAAACTTAAGTCACTATCATATCGTTAGCACAATTTAAAATTTTCCTAAGCGGGCTTGTGAAACCGCTGTTGAGACTTTTCAGTCCAGGAAGCTGGGAAGAGCTCTGCCGTGTTACTATGAAACTGATGCTGGGCTTTGTGTGGCTCCTACTCCAGGTCAGCGGGCCTCTCCAGAGAGTGCCGCCGGCATCTAACGGCGGGAGGCCAGAGATGCTGGTCAACTCCCCTGCAACTTAGAGAACAAACCACCATCTGGCCCAAAAGGTCAACAGCGCTGGGGTTGCGACCCTGCTCTAGACAGACAGACATGACCGTGGAGAGCCCTCGACGGGAGAGGCGGTGCCCAGCTCCACGAGGCCTGAAACGAGAGCACGTGCGGGCAGGAGAGCCCCAGCGGAAGGAAGGGAGCGGGGGGGGGCACCGCACGGGGAGCAGCAGGAGCGCAGGGCGGCGCGCGGGGGAGCGGGCGCAGCAGGCTGCCGACGGGCGAGCAGCTCTTCGCGAACGTCATCCAGCGCGCAGAAGCTAACGCGGGATTCCAATCGCATCTGGAAGCTATCAAATTCTACTTCCACGTATCAGATTTACCGCAAGACCCTCCCGCCCCGTCTACAAACGCACGCAGCGCCGCAAGCTCCGGCCGCGGCGCCGGGCGGAGAGCCTTCCCGAGCCCCCGCGCCCCGTGAGCCGGGGGGCCGCGCCGGGGCCGAGCCCGCCCCCCGGCACGGAGCGCCCGCTCACTCGGGGCCTTCCCCCCGCCTCCCGACGCTCCACCTGTCCGGGGGCTTTA